CCCACTGTAACTGTGAGTGGACATTTGCAGCAACCCTAGTACAAGAAGGTTTGTGACTTACAGGAACTCAGACCTCGTAGAAATGTAGGTTTGGGTCATACCACCAGGGAAGGGAAGCCAAGCCACCAAGACCTGCCAAAATAATAGCTGGGGGTGAGAGCAATTTCGAACAGGTGGGAGAGGAGAATGAAGAGCAGCATGAGCCGTGGCCCTGATGCAACTACAGCAATGAGTGCTATAGCTCGCTCTTGAGGTTTCCCCTCAGGAAGAGAGACCAATGGGAACAGGCAGGAGCTGCTCCCCAACCTGAACGGAGAAGTAGATCTGTGTGGTGCAAGGGGTTGACTACAGCAGCCGCGAAAATGTCCTGCTCCACTCTCCTGCTGTGAGGAGCATAATTCACTGAAAGACTGAGCATACTTCCCACAGACTGTTCCTCACCAGTGACTGAGCACATCAGGGTTACTAAAACAGGCCAGTTCCAACAGGATCAGGATTCTTCCACTGGGCAACTTTGGCTTGGGGATTCCCCATCAGCCTGTCTGAGGTTGAGCACTGATGTACAGGCTGCCTTCTACCCAGTCTTCCCTCCCTCCCCTCATGTCAAACTTCCATTGCATTCTTGAAGGCTATAAATCCCAGTAAATCACACACATGTAATCCCACCTTGGCATTGAGTGGATTCAACCCAGTCTATACTGCTCTTTTGCATAAATTAGAAAAAGGCACTCCTCCTGAGGTGGCTGGCTCCCATTTGGAATACCCAAACCAGGGTTTATAGTGGTGGATTTTAGTCCCCTACCACTGCCTTCGTGCAAAACACAATCTGTACAACCACACAGATGTGGAAGCACTGGGCTTTAGAATTTCAGCTCATAAGTGGGGTGCATTTCTGATACAAAAGGGGATCATCCCAGGGGCACCTGGGTGGCTCAGTCAGTTAAGTGTTGGACTCTTGACTTCGGCTCGGGTCATGATCTCAGGGTCGTGAGATCAAGCCCTGCAACAGACTCTGTCCTGGGTGTGGAGCTTGCTTAAGATTCTCTCTCTCTCCCTCTTCCTCTGCCCTTCTCCCTGTTCTCTCTCTCTCTAGTCTTTTTTTCAGTAACTATTTCTTTTTTGTTTTTCTCTTACTGTATTGTCCCCACCCATCTTGTATGAATCTCTACATCAGGCTGTCTTTTATTGACCTTCTGTCCATTTTAAAAGAAATTTGTTGTGTGCTGATCGGAAAATACAGTTGGTTACTTGTGATCAAAATTAAGTTGGGATATCCTAAGACAGCTGAGCAAAGTCTCCCAAGAGTTAGAGTCCAGAAATGCAAATACCAAGATCCATGGCCAAAGGCAGGAGCAAGGCAGCATCTATCAATAGCAGACTCTTAATAAATATTTCTTCTCTTGACTTAGCCTCACTTCCTCATATGTAGGGATACTAATATATACATTCAATGGCATTTATGAGGACTCAATAAGAACACATTAGCGGGGCACCTGGGTGGCTCAGTTGGTTGAGCGACTGCCTTCGGCTCAGGTCATGATCCTGGGGTCCTGGGATCGAGTCCCACATCGGGCTCCCGGCTCGGCGGGAGGCCTGCTTCTCCCTCTCCCACTCCCCCTGCTTGTGTTCCTGCTCTCGCTGTCTCTGTCTCTGTCAAATAAATAAAATCTTTAAAAAAAAAAAAAGAACACATTAGCAAGTGACTTCCCATTCCATCACTACCATGTCTGCCACAAAAATTGCTCAGTAAATACTAACTTTCTCTCGAGTCTTTTTCTTTGCATTGTATCAGAGGTGGTACTGAAAATTTAAAAATTAGATGGAACAAGAACACCTCAATTAAAACAGGCACTGGTTGGGACACCTGGGTGGCTCAGTCGGTTAAGTGTCTGCCTTCAGCTCAGGTCATGATCCCAGGGATCGAGTCCCACATCGGGCCCCTGCTCAGTGGGGAGTCTGCTTCTCCCTCTGCCTGCCGCTCCCCCTGCTTGTGCTCTCTCTCTCTCTCTGACAAATAAATGAATAAAATCTTTAAGGAAAAAAAAAAACAGGCACTGGCCCCAGCACTAGGACAGGGTCCTAGAAGTCCCCTGAAGTGCTAATTCTTAACTCTTGTTGCTAGGTCATGGAAGGTCTGGGGAGAAGTAGGGAAGGGAAAGAGATGCCTCCTGGGACACTGGACCACACCCAAGGGCAGATGTTTACTAATTGGTTAGTAACTGGGTTGAACATCAGCCCTGTATTACTCATAAGAGTCTCACAATCTGGATCAAACTTCTCAGACTCATATCCTTCTACCTCCTGCAGCCAAAATTCAGATCGTCTAATATGCCCTTTCCCTTAGATTCACCTGGAAAATTCCCAATCAGCTCTCAAATTCTAGCTCAAATGTAATCTCCTCTGGGAAGTCTTTCCTGATCATCCAGAGACAGAGTTAACATCTTTCTGCTATTTTTCATAATATATTATGCTGAACTCTACTATAGCACTTCGTTCAATCAAGAAATTATATTGAGTGCCTTCCATGTCATAAGAATTGAACAAATAAATACCCTACAGGTATTAAAACTTTCTGTCTGCCTGTCTCCCACATTCGACTATATCTCCAAAAGTCACTGGGCAAAGTCTTGCTGTTCCTTTCATCTCCTACAAGACTAGCGCGGCACCTGGCAACCAACAGAAACTCAACATATATTTGTTGAGTAGGTGAATTATTTTCATTCAGGCAGTCTGAAAGTGAGTCACCCCTTCTCTCAAAATTAATTGAGTGCCCTCTATGAGCTAAGCATTATGCTAAGCACTGGGAATTCAAAGATTGATGATACAGTCCCTGGCCTCAAGATGTTTACAGACTAGGGGCGAGATTGATACATACTAGAACATCACATCCTCATATAATGGGAAATGCTAGTTAGAGATAAGCACAGAGAGTAAGGACAGCAGAGAGGAGGGGCCCCCACCCACACAGCTCCAAAGCATGGATGATTTATTCCAAGAGATTCCTCGGGATCCTAAATTCTAGGCTGTCAGATACAGAAGTCCATGAGTAGGGGACTTTTGTGAAAAGACACCCTACAATGATGAGTTCTTAACCTGGAGCTAACCTGAGTGTGCGAGATGTGTATGTGGTTTTTGTAAGGAGGTATCTGTATGGCTGCTTATGGGTATGTATGGAATATACAGGTGGGTGGGTAGGTAGTGGGTAAGTGTGTTAGTGAGAAGAGTGTACTGTGTGTATAAGAGGATGTATTATGTAGGTGTGTGGGGTTGGTCTGTGGAAGGTTGATGTGTGGCCATGTGGGAGTGGATATATGTGCGGGGGTGTGGGGGTGTGAATTAGTATATGTATGGGTGGTTGGAGGAGTTGTGGTCTTTGTATAAGTAGGTATTGAGGAGTGTGTGAGTGGCTGGGTATGTTTTTTGCATTTTTCTGAGAAGATCCAAAGAAGTCTATGTCTAAAACATGATTAAGAGCATCCCCTGGATCGGGGCGCCTGGGTGGCTCAGTCGGTTAAGCGACTGCCTTCAGCTCAGGTCGTGATCCCCGGGTCCTGGGATGGAGCCCCGCATCGGGCTCCCTGCTCGGCGGGAAGCCTGCTTCTCCCTCTGCCCCTCACTCTGCTTGTGTTCCCTCTCTCGCTGTGTCTGTCAAATAAATAAATAAAATCTTTAAAAAAAAAAAAAAAAGAGCATCCCCTGGATACTCTTCCCTTTCCCTCTGAAGAACATTTGAGTTTGTCAGTCTAGAAAGTCCTCAAATAGGACCATCCCTGGGTATAGTACAGGCCTGGTGAACTGGATATGACCCAATTGTTCCTCAGAGACAAAATGACTCCTAAGGAAAAGAGGACATCTGTTACTGCACCTTTATTCTATTTCTGGGCCTTGCTTGCCTCAGAAAGGCACAAAGGAGGAGGTAGGTTGGTGAGCCCCACCTTCAGAAATAAAAGCAGCTGGGGTTCTAGTGCCCATAATGGACCTACAAGCTGGCTCTGAGCCTCCTCCTTGAGCACCTTCTGAAGCTCGTTGGCTGCCAGTCAGGTCCTGAACTGGTCAACCCCTGAGCTGTGTTATTCATCCCAAGGCGATCCAGGCATGACCCTGCTTGCCGTTCTCCATTCTACACAGATGCCCGCCCTGGGCTGGGCAAAGCAGGTGAGAACATATGGCCAGCAGTGTTCAAAACCTGACAAAGCATATGGCAGTTCTGCTGGGCTCTCTGGTTCAGTAAACCAGCCCAGCCCCTATAACGTTGTCCCTGGAAGCTTTGCTTGAAATTACGTTTTTAAAAAACCAGCACCAGGGGAGCCTGGGTGGCTCAGATGGTTAAGCGTCTGCCTTCGGATCAGGTCATGATCCCAGGGTCCTGGGATCGAGTCCCGCATCGGGCTCCTCTGACCCTCTCCCCTCTCATGCTGTTTCTCTCTCGCTTGCTCTCTAAAAAATAAATAAAATCTTTAAAAAAAAAAAAAAAAAACCAGCACCGCTCCTTTTATGATGAAGGCTAGTAGCAGTGAAGCAATTCAGGTATCTTCAGGTGGAGTTTCATGAAGGGCAGCCAGGAATGCTGCCACGTTCTTCCTAGGCTACTCACTGGGTGGCTGATTATCTGGGATAATCCATCTTTTCAAATCCCTGTTAAGGGGATCAGGGAAAATTCCACCTTTTCAGCATACCCACAAAACATACAGGTGTAGGTCTTGAAGTCTGGTCAGGGCTGCATCATGGAAGTGAGAGGTTGGCTCTAGACTCATGGAATTGTATGAAAAACATCAGTAGAAAGAGAGCAAGGCTGGCTACGTCTGCGAGTGCAGGGAAATATACTACTCCTATCTCATCGTTGGCAATTGGCCTCCGAGGGCCACTACCCTTTCTGCTCTGCGCATCTTCACCCAGATTGACTAGGTGAAACAAAATTTAGCCACCAGCGCTTCCTTAATCCCATCACAATCCCTTGAGCATTGTAGGTTTAGGAGAAAAATTGGCTATTTCCTGTCCAGGGTGCCTGGGCCAAGAAGGCCAATCGGGACCAGGCCCCAGGCCAGGGCTTCTCTAGGCAAGATGGTAATGGGCCCAGCCAGAAATGGAGGAAGCCAGGAGATGACAAAATGGTGCCAAAGAAAGGACTGACAAGGCAAGTCAGAGAAGCCAGATCTGCTTCAGTTTCAAAGAGTTATCTGATCAGAGACTGAAAGGTAAAGCCAAAAAGTCAGGATAGGGGTAAGGTGGGAAACCAAAAGCAAGGCCAGGCGAGAAGATTTGGCCAAATATTTTGCCACAGCATAACAATGGCTGTGTATTAGAGGGCTACCCTGGTTTCAAGGATTATAATCATACAAAATATGCTCTCGAACCAAAAAGGAATAAAAGTAGAAACCAGGAACAATTACATATCTAGAAAATATCCAAAGATTTGGAATATTAAGCAACATCTCTACATAGCTCATGGGTCAAAAAAGAAATTGCAAATGAAATTAGAAACTATTTTGAACTGAATAATAATGAATACACAACCTCTAAATTTATGGGATGCAATTAAAGCAGCCCTTAGAATAAAGTATATAGCTTTAAAAACTTATTTTAAGGGGGAAAATGATCAACTTTATTAACCATTAGGAAAATGTAAATTGAAAACACAATGAGATACTACCATATACCTATTCAAAGGGATAAAATGTCTTAAAAATAACCTGACAATCCAAGTATTGATTGGGAGCAACTGGAACTCTCCTCACATATTGCTGGGGGGGGGGGGGGGTTCAAAATGACCCACTGCTTTAGAAAAAAGTTTAGCAGTTTCTTATAAAGTAGACATGCACTGATTGTATGACTCAGCAATTGCTCTCCTGGGTATTTATCTGAAAGAAATGAAAATTTATGTTACACAGAAACCTGATAGGGAACATTTTTAGTTTTAGGTTTTATTTGTAATTGCCAAAACCTGGACACAACCCAAATATCCATCAAATTATGAATGAATAAAGAAGCTGTGGGCCATCCATAAAGTAGACTACCACTCAGCAGAATAAAGGAATGAGCTACTAATATACACAAAAATATGGATGAGTCTCAAATGCAGCATGCTGAGAAGAACCAGACTCAGAAGGCTACATACTACATGATTCCATTGGTATGAAATTCTGGAAAAAGCAAAACTGTGGAGACAGAAAACAGGTGAATAGCTACCAGAGGCTGTGAGTGAGGGAAAGGATTGACTACAAGAGAGTATGAGGGGCGCCTGGGTGGCTCAGTTGGTTAAGCGACTGCTTTCGGCTCAGGTCATGATCCTGGAGTCCCTGGATCGAGTCCCACATTGGGCTCCCTGCTCGGCAGGGAGCCTGCTTCTGCCTCTGACCCTCCCCCCTCTCATGTGCTCTCTCTCTCTCATTCTCTCTGTCTCAAATAAATAAATAAAATCTTAAAAAAAAAAAAAAAGAGAGTATGAGGACATTTCAGGTGACGATAGTGTTCTCGATCTTGAATATGGTGGCAACTACATGACAGTATATGCATGTCAAAACTTATAGAACTCCAGGCTAAAAAAAGGTGCTTTTTACCATATAAAAATTAAATTTTAGTTTACAAAAGAAAAACAAACACAATACCTAGTGTATATAGTGTATGATCTATCTAGTGTACAATACCAGTATATACCTACTAGAAGCAGACAGTAGAATGGTGGCTGGCAGGGCTGGGGAAGGGGGAAATGGGGAGATCTTAGTCAAAGAGTACAAAGTTCCAGTTATGCAAGATTAATAAGCTCTGGGGATCTCATGTACAGCAATGTGAGGATAGTTAACAATACTGTATTGCATACATGAAATTTGCTAAGAGGGTAGATATTAAGGGCTTTCATCAAAAGAAAGGAGGAGGAAGGAAGGAAGGAAGGAAAGAAAAAGAAAGGAAAGGGCGCCTGGGTGGCTCAGTTGGTTAAGCGACTGCCTTCGGCTCAGGTCATGATCCTGGAGTCCCTGGATCGAGTCCCGCATCGGGCTCCCTGCTCGGCAGGGAGTCTGCTTCTCCCTCTGACCCTCCCCCCTCTCATGTACTCGCTCTCTCTCATTCTCTCTCTCAAATAAATAAATAAAATCTTTAAAAAAAAAAAAAAGAAAAAAGAAAAAGAAAAGAAAGAAAATGGTAACGATGTGAGGTGACAGATATGTTATTGAGCTTGCTTGTGGTGATTATTTCACAATGTAAACATACATCAAAACATCAAGTCATACACCTCAAATGTATATAATTTTTGTCAATTACCATATACCTCAATAAAGCTAGGGGGAAAATTAATACTACAAAGCTTCTAGAAGGAAACGTAAGAGACTACCTCTGCAAACTTGTAGAGTGTGATATTTCTTAAACAGACCAAAAAAAGTCACTGACCATAAAAGAAAAAAAAAATAATAAATTGAACATCAAAATTATACATAATTTTAAGGCAAAAAAGTTGTCCTAGATTTTCTCTAATCATCTCAACTTCAATATAATAATTTTTTGTTTGGGGCACCTGGGTGGCTCAGTCATTAAGCGTCTGCCTTCGGCTCAGGTCGTGACCCCAGGATCCTGGGATCGAGCCCGCATCAGGCTCCCTGCTCTGTAGGAAGCCTGCTTCTCCTTCTCCTACTCCTCCTGCTTGTGTTCCCTCTCTCGCTGTCAAGTAAATAAGCAAAATCTTTTTTAAAAATTAAAAAAATAATAATTTTTTGTTTATTTGTTTGCTTGTTTGTTTTTTGATTCCTAGAGGAGAAAGGAGAGGGGGAGAAAAATTGGAAGAAGAGGATTCAAAGAGGGGAAGAGAGGAGAAGGAAAAAGGGTTTTAGTTCAAGGTAGTTATGCTGTGGTGGAAGACTGTATTTTTTAAATACATGGACTTCTCAAAACAGCACTACTATGGGTAAAGAAAATTGTGTGTAGTACTCTTTAGCCATCAAAAAGAGGGAAATCCTGCCACCCGTGACACCATGGATGGACACGGAGGGCATTATTCTAAATGAAGTAAGTCAGACGGAGAAAGGCAAATTCTATATGATCTCTTTTATATGTGGGACCTAAAAAAAACCAAACAAATTCACAGAAAAAGAGATCAGATTTGTGGCTACCAGAAGTGGGGGGCTAAGGGGAGAAGGAAGTGGAGGAAGGTGGTCAAAACGTCCAAACTTCCAGTTATAAAATAAATAGGCACCGAGGATATAATGTACAACATGATGACTATAGCTAACTCTGCCGTATGGTACATCTGAAAGTTGCTAAGAGACTAAATACTAAAAGTACTCATCACAAAGATGTGTGTATGTATGTGTATGTGTCTATATGGGATGATGGATGTTAACTAAACCTTATGGCCATAATCATTTTGCAATATGGGTAAGTAAAGGCACTGTGCTGTGCACGTTAAACCTATGTAAATAGTTCTGTATGTTAACTATATCTCAATAAACCTGAAAGGAAATAAAACATTATTGTAAGTAAAATCATATTCTAAATACAGGTTCTGTTTTCTTTTCTTTTCTTTTCTTTTTTAAGATTTTATTTATTTATTTGAGAGAGAAACAGAGCACAAGCCAGGGCAGGGGCAGAGGGAGAGGGAGAGGGACAAGCAGACTCTGCACCGAGCGTGGACCCCGATGCGGGACTCGATCACAAGACCCCAGGATCATGACCTGAGCTGAAGTCAGATCCTTCACTGACTGAGCCACCCCGTCACCCCAGGTTCAGTTTTTCCTGTCTAAAAAGCTGAACTGATAAGAGACGATGTCATTTGGTTCTATTCTTTACTTAGTAAAAGGCCAAATCTGCATTTTGCCTAGTGCCAAGTCAAGCATGGGGGGGAGGGGTGAGAGGAGCAAGGAAGAACTGGAAATGTGATCTTGGTAATGAGACAGAGCAGATAAAGAGAAGAAAAGGAAACTTCAGAAGCCCGCTGGGCAGTTCTGGGAAGTGGGAGGCCCACGGAAGAACTGTAGATGTAGGGCCAATCTGCGGTGACTGCCATATCCCCCAGGTAGCACAGCATCACAGAGCCTGGGTGGGGAGGGGGCAGAAGGGGAGAGATAAGTCCTCCAGGAACCATCTGTGGCAACCCTCTAATAGGGGAAGGGAACATTCAATATCCACTTTCGTTAGTTAGATTCAAACCAACAGTTAATTTCCACACCTCTGGGTTTGAGATAAAAGACTGGAAAGCCGGCTTTAAAACTGTAGCTCCACCTTATCTAGAAACAGGTGCTTGATGTGAGGCTGGAGTGGTAACCAGCCCCCCATTCAGGCTGGACAATGGTTGTCAAGCAGGGTCTCCTGGGAGGGGTGACTAGTTTCTGCTACCTCAGAGGAGCCACTCTGGGACCCCATCCTGCATGCATAAAAATATTATTTTCTCCTTGATTTCAGAGAAATTCCAGCTCTCCGATAAACCCTCAAGCCACATCTTCTGTTAGACAAAAAGACTCCATGGATGTAGCACTCCAAACATGGTAATGACTTTCACCTGATTAGGAATCTCTTGTCACTTTTAGGTTTCCATCCTACTTACCAGTTCAGGATGGGGAGAGATATACTAACAAGAGCTTCCCTTGGTCTCTCTGACTTGATTCAAAACATCATAATCTGCCTAACATAATCCTGGGAAGAAGGATCACACACAAAAGTAAATGGGGAACTAACAGACAAGACCCAATTTATGGGTCAATAACATCCAAGGAGGGACTTTGACTTGAATTTGGAGTTTAGGGAAGAATATGATTAATGTCTAACACTTGATTTCCTCTTCTTGGCAACACATCCTCTCTGGTTGGGTCTCTACTCCAAGAGTGGATAAACAAAAGAAGCTACTCCAATTTCACCTGGAAACCCAGACAGGAGGTGAAGAAGGTAGAAGTGGAAAAGAATCAAACTCTTTGGCCTTTGTCTCTCCTTAGATGGCTACAAGTAGGAAGGAGGGTTGAAGTGGGCGGGGAAAAGACGACTGACATGATTTGGCAATGGTGTCCAGGAGGAGGGAAGAGGGGAAAGAAGTGGGAGACTTCCAGGCAAGAGGAGGCCATCGCTATGCTTTTCTGAGCTGGAGGCACTCAGGATCTGTATCCTGCTCACATTTCTTTGCAGAGCTGCTCCAGGCTCCAGCACCATGCATCATTGCCTATGGAAATATATCATAGTTGCTGTGTCCTTAATCTTCCTGAACTTCTTCCTCCAAAAGAATAATGAAGAGCATCTTACATATAACTTATCATTGGTAAGTACCAGAGACAGAGATTGGACTGTTTGTCAATACTTCGGTGGGGGGGGATTTTTTTCCAGTCATGCGAACACTCTAGTTATCACCACAGAAGTTCTAAGAAGAGGGCACTTGAAGAATCAGGAGAGTGTCAGAGAAAAGGTTAATATTGAACCAGCCTTGAAAGATGTATAATATTTGAATAAAGGCAAGGAGGAAGAGAGGGCAGTTTAAGTGTAGAGAGAGTAATGCACAGACACTTCTAGAAAACCATGCTGACTGGCAGGACCTGCATGTGATGAGGACTGCCTGAGTGCTGGCCACTTCCCTCACCAGAGCCTGGCATGAGAGAGGTTAGTCATCCCATTTCTCATACAAAGGGACTGAGACACAGAGCCCTAAAATAACTTCTCCCACGTGCACAACATCTGCAAGTAAAGAAAACCAAATCCAATGCGGGGCATGCTCAGGTTTTGAGAGTCTATATTTTTCCTTAATGCCTCAGACCAGCTACAGCAAAGCATAGGTGGATGTGGGGAAGTGGTTGAGAAACATGCATATAGTCCGAGTGGAATAAAAGAAAGGTGTTTAGAATTGAGGCACTGTGGGTGTCTTCCATAAGGACAGGACCAGGCACTGGTCTTCAGTACCTGCCACAGAATCCAGCACAGTCTAAGCTGAGTTAGATGACCTTGGCCAGCCTGATAATGGTAAGAGAAATTAGATGTGAGACATGGTGGGGCAAGCAAGTTCTACTCTACAGAAGCCTAGGAACTTCCTACAGGTATTCCTACTTTCTTTTTTTTTTTTTAAAGATTTTATTTATGTATTTATTTGAGAGAGAGAGAGAATGAGAGAGAGCACATGAGAGGGGGGAGGGTCAGAGGGAGAAGCAGACTCCCCGCCGAGCAGGGAGCCCGATGCGGGACTCGATCCTGGGACTCCAGGATCATGACCTGAGCTGAAGGCAGTCGCTTAACCAACTGAGCCACCCAGGCGCCCGTATTCCTACTTTCTACCTGATTCCAGGGCCCACCACCTCTTCTGGAAAGTCCTGTGTGTTCTCATGATGAGGTGGGGACAGCAGTCAACTAAGTCCTGACACTTGGGCTCTCTGGTGACTAGATCCTGGGGCACGCCCCGCCTCTTAAAGGGGGGATCTGCCCCTTACTTGTCTCCAGGCTGATGTTCATCATATCCTCAGCAGGAGGAAAAGAAGAAAATACTGTGGCAGTTCAATCAGAAGCAAATCAGCTCTGAACGTAAGAACCATATGGCGACCTTCAAGGACATGCAGAAACCCTCCGCTTTACTCCAACGGGCCAACTACAAATTCCTGGCTGGATCCCTTCCCCAGGAAAAGAGTGAGTATAGGGGAGGGAGTGGTCAGACTGGGAGGAGGTCAGACAAGGTATTCCAACAAGAAAAAGGAGGATGGGTAAAAAGGGAACATGAGCTGGCATCTGGGGAGGAAAGCAGGATACTCTGAGGGAGTGCCATGCTATGAAATTTGGTACAGGTTATAATCCTGAGTGTACTTTCTTCCCACTGGCCACCCCCTTGAATGACTAACAAGATGAGAAGTCCACAGTGACCTGTTAAGGAGCCATCCCATAGTGAAGCTCATTCATGTCCCCCATCCCGCGGGCTGGGGGGAAGACAGAATGGGAGAGGAGGAGAGGAGAGGAGAGCTATGGTAAAAAGCACTGGGTAGAGGAAGAAAAGGGTGGCTGGATGTTGACTAGTTGTACACTAGACTGCCAGAAGCCTTGGGTTTATGTAGGTCCCTGGAGGTCCTCTAATCCAGGTCTGGCTGATCCACAGTAGCTGAGATAACTCTGAGGTCAAGACCTGGTTAACTGGCCAAGCCAAGAAATTTACCTTTAGTACATGGCAGCCTCCCCCATCAGAGGGAGACTTGTTCTTCATAAAGTTTCCGCCAATAGCCGTTTAAAGGTGTGATAAAATAAAACCACTTCACAACTTCTAACCAGAGATTAACCTCATATCTGGACCACACTCTTCCAGGGAAAGGAAATGTGAATTTATCACAGGTATGGCATTAAGGGGAAGACCTGAGAGGAGAGACCTGGGAATTCTTCCCCATCTGTAAGTGGTAAAGGCTCCCTTATCTCCCTCCACCCCTAGAGCTGCTGACGGTGGGGATTTCCTCAGAGCAGCACCCTCATGGGAACTACCTCTTGGACACCTTGCAGTCCCTTTTCCAAGCTTCTTCAGAACCTGAGCTGAATTGTATCATAGTGTTGGTCCACCTGTCAGATCCTGATCCCGAATGGCTCAGCCAAACAGTTGCCAATATTTCAAGCCTCTTCAAACCACACATTGAGGCCCAGAAGCTGCTCGTGATCCATGGTGGTCTCAGTGACTCTCCTCTCCTAGGAGATCTGAATAACATTAGTCACACCTCACCCTGTGAAGCACATTATTCCAGGCAGAAAGTCAGTTATGCCCTCCTCATGAACTTTGCTCTCAACCTTTCTGAATACTTTCTGATGATAGAAGATTATGTTCACTGCACCCCCAAATTTATTTCTACCATCTATTGGGTATTATCAGCCTGGAAAGAACTACCTTGGGTGATCCTAGAGTTCTCCAGCCTGAGCCTCTCTGGGAAAGTTTTCCACAACAGTGACCTCTCCCGCCTGACCTCTTTCTTTCTCCTTTTCCATGAGAACATTCCCATTCATTTGTTTCTCTCTGAATTCCGTCTACTCTTGGCCCAAAATGTTCCAATTCGTTTCAGTCCCTCGGTCTTCTACCACATGGGCAATTATTCTCTGTTTGAGGACACCTGCTTTCTTGTGGAGAAGGAAGAGGTCTTTGACGAACCAGACAACCCTGTTGCCAACGTCCTCACTGACATGATGGCAGAACTGAATATTATTCCACAGTACGCTTATATTCTGAACAAGGAGTGCTACTCTGTCCTCAATCCTATAGAAGGCAACTACCTGACAGTGATTTTGGAGAAGCCACAAAAAGTCATCCGGATAGAGGTGCTGACAGGTTCTGACAAACAAGGGCTGTACTGGCTACAGCAGGGACAAGTGGAACTTGGCTATGATCCCTTGGAGGATTCCAGAGGCTGCACCCGCTATACCCTACTAGGTCCACTGGTGGAAGGACATTTGGACCAGAGGGTATTTTATGAAGAAGATTCTGTGGAGGAGTTGAGTTGTATACGATTGATCGTGCTAGCATCTCAAAAGTCTTGGCTCCTGATCAGGCAGATCAGAGTCTGGACTCAGAATGAGGAAGAGGAGAGTTAGCACAATGGGAACACTGGAAGGGTGGGGCTTGAGAATGGAATCCACATGGCTGACCAGAAATAAAGCTAAAATCGATCAAAGCCTGCTCATTCTGAGTAGGGTGACTGTGTAATTTATTATCCAAACTGGGACACTTTGAGAATGAAAGGAAGCACTATTAAAAATGACACTAGAACAACAGGTGGAAAGCAAGACTGCCCCAGATAAGCTGAGATGTGTGGTCATCCTAATTCTGATTTTTCTGGGTTACTCAAGATAGATAACACAGTCTGATGAGGGGCAGACACAAGACAATGTCCTCTGGATTCCAAGGGCCAGAAAGAGGGAAGGAGTCACCATGAACTGCCTGGGTTCTTTTCAACAAACAAGTATAACATCGCAAGATCTTTCCATGAAGGAGTTATTGCCCTATCTAGAGTTATAGCAGTCTTTATAGTGGTGGAACTATGATCATGGTGGAACTGACTTTAGATCAGATCTATACACCTGTCCTGGTCTGTTTGGGCTGCTGTAACAGAATTCCATAGATTGGGTGGCTTATAAACAAGAATTTATTTCTCACAGTTTTGGAGGCTGGGAAGTCCAAGGTGCTCACAGATTTTTTTTTTTTTTAAGATTTTATTTATTCACAGTGAGAGAGGGAACACAAGCAGGGGGAGTGGGAGAGGAAGAAACAGGCTTCCTGCTGAGCAGGGAGCCTGATGCGGGGCTTGATCCCAGGACCCCGGGATCATGACCTGAGCCTAAGGCAGATGCTTAACCGACTGAGCCACCCAGGTGCCCCGAAATGTTTCCTGAATTTAAAAGGAAAAAAATATTTGAGTCTAACCAGTTGCCTCTCACTAGAATATTTATTCTTCCATTTCTTTTTTTTAAGATTTTATTTATTTATTTGAGGGAGAGAGAACACGAGTGAGGGGAGAGGCAGAGGGGCAGAGAGAGAAAGAATCCCAAGCAGACTCCCCACTGAGCATGGAGCCTGGCGTGGGGCTCCATCCCACAATCCTGAGATCATGACCTGAGCCGAAACCAAGAGTCAGACATTTAACTGAGTCACCAAGATGCCCCTATTCTCCCATTTCATTAGGAACAATTACAGCATGGGAAACCAGGTACACACCTAAAAAAGAACAAAATTCCCATGTTCCTTGCAATTTGGTTGACCAATAAAATGAAAGTAAAATCTTTGGGTGAGATTTCCATTAAAAATTTCCAATAGAGGTTTAGTCAGCTGGCAGAAAACTTTTTTCACATTGACCTAATAATTCTTTATCTTGTTACTTTGCTATTGCTTTCAATCAGTTGCTATTTATATTTTGTTCAGCTTTTCTAGTTGTCTTGCATAAGAAGGTTCAAATTACCTAAATTGTTATTGTAAAAAAAAAAAACTTCTATGTATAACTTGAAAAGATCTTCAAGACACACCATTAAATGAAAAAACCCCAGCTTCAATATAATATATACAAAATTATTCATTCATGCAAAAAAATTCCATGTATTTTACTCAGCATAATTACAAAAAGAAACTACAGAAGAATCTATTACTGGCAATTTGTCTATGAACACTATAAAAACTCTCCTGATTAAAACAACTAAATAAACTACACAAACTACTGGGCGCCTGGGTGGCTCAGTCGTTAAGTGTCTGCCTTTGAGTCAGGTCATGATCCCAGGGTCCTGGGATCAAGTCCCACATCGGGCTCCCTGCTCAGCAGGAAGCCTGCTTCTCGCTCTCCCACTCCCCCTGCTTGTGTTCCTGCTCTCACTATCTCTCTCTCTGTCAAATAAATAAATAAAATCTTTAAAAAAATAAAAAAATAGGGCGCCTGGGTGGCTCAGTTGGTTAAGCGACTGCCTTCAGCTCAGGTCATGATCCTGGAGTCCCGGGATCGAGTCCCGCATCGGGCTCCCTGCTCAGCGGGGGGTCTGCTTCTCCGTCTGACCCTCTTCCCTCTCGTGCTCTCTGTCTCTCATTCTCTCTCTCAAATAAATAAATAAAATCTTTAAAAATAAATAAATAAATAAATAAAATAAAATAAACTACACAAACTACTTAAAAACTGTTTTTAAGTGTATCAAAGAAATGAAAAGAATCTAAGAAATACTCAGAGACCAAAAAGTTAAACAAAAATAAGAATCCAGATAGGTAAATAAGGACTTAAGCTGGCTTTTGCTCTGAGGGAATTAACCAAATATCAGTAACACTGAGCTCTATTTTTTTAATTTATTTTTTATTTAAATTCAATTAACTAACATACAGTGCACTATTAGTTTCAGAGGTAGAGTTCAGTGATTCATCAGTCTTATATAACACCCAGTGCTCATTACATCCGGTGCTCTCCATAATGTCCATCACTCAGTTGCCCCATCCCTTCACCCCTCTCCCCTCCAACAACCCTCAGTCTGTTTCCTATGCGCTCCATTTTGATAGCTGTGGGGGGTGCATGAGACTAAAGAAAAGGTCAGGGATACCTAAGATTTCATGGATAATGGGAGGCCACCGTGTAAATCTGCAATACTAAGTGGCTGCATGCTCATCATAGAGAGCTGGAAAGAGACAACACCACAGAAGGGAACAGAAATAAAATTACCTGTCTCAGTCTGCACTATTAGACGGGAAAAATTTTTTCCCTGATATTCCTAAACACAAGTTGTCCATTATAGATTTGCTGTGATCCAAATTAACATTACCAAGTGCTCCCAAAAATCTCCAGCCAAGATTATATTTTAAATTAGTCACAGTTCAAGTTGGTAGTGCCTCCCAAGATTCTGGGAAAAGGCAAATTTAAATCTTTTGGAGGAATTTAGGACTTAGAGAATCCTCACAAAGTTCTACAAAACTTAAGCTCACAGTAAAAACTCACAAAACACACAAGGAAATATGGCACCATAATGAGAACCAGGAAAAAAAAAAAAACCATAATCAGAGCTGAAAAGACTTCAAATATTGAAAATATCAGACCCATAAAAAAATAACTTTTAATATATTTTTAAAAACGGAAGTTAAGATTGAAAATGTGAGTAAAGAATAAATAACTAGAAAAGGGGCTGAGAATATTTGAAATAGAGAACTTTCAAAAAAAATTTTATTTATTTAAGTAATCTCTACACTCTACTGGGACTCAAACTCACAACCCAGAGATCAAGAGTCACATGCTCTACTGACTGAACCAGCCAGGTATTTCTGAAATATAGAACTTCTGAAGATAGGAAAAAGTAAGAATTGAAATTTAAAACCCAGTGGATAAGTTGAAAATCTGATTAAAGTCAATCAAATAGAAAATTAGTGAACTAAAAGAATTAAAGATATTATCCATAATGCAGCACAGGATAAAAAGATGGGGGAAAATATGAGAGAAGATTTAAGAGATTTAGAAGACTGTAAATGACAATCATAATTCCAATCTGGGTTCAAAATAAAGAGAAGTTAGAGAATGAATTTTATCTTATATAGCTATTGTATGTATGTGCACACACATTTGTAGAGAGGGGAGTGTTAATTAGAATTATAGTATTCTAAGGTTCTAGTTCAATGCAAGAGTAAATATACTAACTTTAAATATTAAGTAAAAACATTCATGTTAAATTTTTAGAATAACTCTAAAGGCTAGAGGGCGCCTGGGTGGCTCAGATGGTTAAGCGTCTGCCTTCGGCTCAGGTCATGATCCCAGAGTCCTGGGATCGAGTCCCGCATCGGGCTCTCTGCTCCTTGGGAGCCTGCTTCTCCCTCTGCCTCTCTCTCTCTCTCTCTGTCTCTCATGAATAAATAAATAAATAAAATCTTTAAAAAAATAAAAATAAAAATAACTCTAAAGGCTAGAAATAGTATTTCATGCCAAAACCAGAGAGAAAAGGAAATGTAATGAGGAAAAAAAAAAGAAAACTCAACCAATTCTCCCAGAAGGCAAGAATAGAAGGAGAAGAAAGAAAAACAGAAGGTACCTGATAATAGTGTAAATAAATTCATAAATATAAATATTATCTGATAAATAAAAATGAATTAAATGCATTAGCTAAAAAAGATTTTCTTATTTGGTTGGAAAAAAATACAACTTTTTCTGTTTATAAGGACTGAAACTTAATAACACATAAAAGTTGGAAATGACAGCAAGGAAGAAGATATTACTGGCTAATACAATCAAAAATTAAATTACATTGAACAAGACTTTAAGGCAAAAAAAAAAAAAAGGCATTACCAGAGGAAAAGAAGATCAACACATATCTCAGGGATAGCTTCATAAAAAAATGCAGCTTACCATGGGCGCCTGGATGGCTCAGTCGTTAAGCATCTGCCTTCAGCTCAGGTCATGATCCCAGGGTCTTGGGATCAAGTCCCACATCGGGCTCACTGCTCCGCAGGAAGCCTGCTTCTCCCTCTCACACTCCCCCTGCTTGTGTTCCCTCTCTCTCTGTCTCTCTCTCTGTTGAAAAATAAATAAAATCTTTAAAAAAAAATGCAGCTTACCAGATGTCCATCACAGATGAATGGATAAAGAAGATGTGGTATATATATACAATGGAATATTACACAACCATCAAAAAATGTAATCTTGCCATTTGCAACAATGTAGATGGAACTAGAGGGTATTTTGTTAAGCGAAATAAGTCAGTCAGAGAAAGACAATTATATATCTTACTGATTTGTGGAATTTAAGAAACAAGGCAGAGGATCATAGGAGAAGAGAGGGAAAAATGAAACAAGATGAAACCAGAGAAGGAGACAAACCATAAGAGACTCTTAATCACAGGAAACAAACTGAGGGTTGCTGGAAGGGAGGGGAGTGGGGGCTGGGGTAACTGGGTGATGGACATTGGGGAGGGTATGTGTTGTAATGAGCACTGGGTATTATATGAGACTGATGAATCACAGACCTGTACCCCTGAAACAAATAAAACGTTATATGTTAATTAATTGAATTTAAATTTAAAAATATATATATACTTTAAGCAATTAAAAAAGAGAACACAACTGACAAAATTGGAATATAAATGGTGTAGAG